CAATAAGTGTCAGTTTGATTTACAGATATAGCTTTCTATGATAATAGTTTGTGAATTTGTAATAAGTCCCTAATTTGGTTAGAACAACCTGATTGAATGAAAATAAATCTAATACCGTACTTCAGAGGTCAAGCCATCGGTTGAATTGCACGGTAGAAGTAGGTATGTAGCGACATAAACTTTGAGACTAGCATTTAAACTTGAGTTTATATCCGACATCTCTAAGATCGAATAATTTAATTATCGAAAGGTATTTTAAATCCTGACATCCCTACGAATATTCCTTTACAGGCGCCCAGGGCCGTTTTTTGTAATGCATGGAGGGGGTAAGTAATAAGTCGGTCCGGGATGTTGCACAAATCCAACATGAGACTAATCCATTAAATTGGGATACCAATACGTCTAAAATGTTTTCACAAGATTTCTTTTTTAGCCATTTTGTGATTTTGAATGGACCAAACACACGCTTTTACAAAATAACTAACAGAGAAAGCTGAATTCTTGTTGAAATCGAGCTTTAAGCTCTAATCTCTATTGATTCAAATTCAAATCTCTGTTTATTTATTTATTTAAGTAAACGTGTAAACAAATTGGCATTAGAAATCTAATTGACTTATAAGGTGAAAAATTAAATGCTAATTGTATATTTTATCCCATCAAAAACAATACTTGTGAAAAAACCAAGGCTCGCAACTCAGTTGTTCTACGGTAAAAAGTTGTGAGATCCATGTAATACCAAGTCCAGGCCAGGAAATCTTTAACGTTTTACATAAATTATTGACTTGGCCATCGCACTAAATAATTTAATTTACACGTGTTTTCATGACAAACAACTGAGTTGCGAGACTTGGTTTTTTTGACAAGTATTGTTTTTGATGGGATCTCATTTCTTTTTGTATTTTGTAGACAGCAGTTATGTATCTAGAAAACTGGACCGAAATTAAAAAAATTTACTCGACTTGGCGGTTGCACTACCGTGCCCCCAAATATTTTAGTTTTTCCTTGATTCATACACCAAACACTACTTATATTCCAAATTTGAAGCTTCTAGGTCTGCTAAAAGTGCCTTAGAATTTTGATGATCGATGAGTCAGTCAGTGAGTCAGTGAGTGACAAAATTAAGTAACTTTGACCCGTTATAATTCTTAAACTACTGGTTCAAATTGAATGAAATTTTAAATATACCGTGTCTTTACAATGCCTGCATAGCTAATGAAAATTCAGCCTTCTAGTTTTATCCACAACGAAGTTACAGGCGGTCGAAAATGGCCTGAATTGCTTCGAGAAAAGGATGGTACGGCCGTGCCGCTTTTTTGCTCGACTTGGTGGGGGCACTGCCGTGCCCCCAGACACAACCAATTAATAAAACAATCCTAAGTCTCAATAAGTGGTAACAAAACAAGTCAACACGAGCAAGCAACTTAGATAAACCTAAGAAATGAGCCATCTCAACGAGTCTACCCCTTGTTTCATTGTTCAGAATCTCGTAGCATCTGAAAACTACTGAAACTCACAAACAACAACTTTTGGTTTCGGCAATAAAGTGTGGCCAGGTTGCGGTGGAACACTTGTACTAGTTCTAAAAACATTCAGTTTTTATTATATTTTTAACATCAGCGGTAAATACAAAAGGATGGCAGGGGTAAAACAATATGCATTTTAGGAATTGTGTACATGCACTAATGTAGAGCACTCTGTGAGTTACCTGTAGCAATTGTTTTTTTATATTTGTGAAACTTTTGTAAAATAACGCACAGTTTATAAACGAATTTATCTTTTTACATAGTAAAGGGAATATATTCCAGCTCCTTCCTGTTCTGCATTAGTCGAATGTTTGTTTAAAAGGTAGGGAGAGATTTAGGTAAAGAGCGCCTTTCAGCATAACCTTTTTGTTATTTTTCTTTCCAGTATAATATGCCAGAATACCCATTAAGAAGCGAGTGCATACTAAACGCGTTTTAATGTGAAACTCCGAGCGTAAAGTGGTAGTTTAACTCCTATTAGTTGGTTCAGTCAATAGAATGCTAACATTCGTACTCAAATAGTAGACAGGAGCGTCATATTGTTTGATCTACATTCAATATGTATTCCGTGAGAAGTTTTGAATCAAGATTTAAGATGTAACAGACGTTTAGGCACCAACTTTTTTACCTACTCGTACATAGGGTACCTATAAAGACCGTATACAAAAATATTCTTACACAAAATTAGGCAAAATATATTTTCTCTTATCTCAAATGCCAACAGTCGACGTGGCTAGGCACGCAGTTTATGCTGTACATATGAGAAGGATGGCAATAAAGGCCCTCATATGTTATAATGAGAGAGCTACCCTCAGGAGGCCTAATAATTATACCATAGAGCGTGTTATCAAATATCCAACCGAGAATATATGAAAATATGTACACAACACCTGCGGCGTATTGTTACTGTAAATCTGAAGACGTTAATTGCGTACAGGTAATTACCGTTTTCTGATCAAATAACGGAGAAAATTACGTAAAGGATTTCTCGAATATTAAGTAAATCTTCACAATAGAAAATTTCCTTTAGATGCTTTAATTAATCATACTTAGGTACCAATTTCATCCTTATTGTAAAGACTTACAAAATTATTTTTGTAGTAGATACAATCAAAAATTGCAATCTTACACCTGGTAGCGGGTAGGTAATAAATAACTGACTCTAATCAAAATAAGTAGCAGATTAGGGTCGTTGGCATTAATATATGAGCATTGTCACACCTCGAACTCTTCTCATCTGGCAATCTTGATTTCAGACATAAGCTACCTACGTACATAATTATTCGGTTTGTAAAACTGTAAAGTAAAGGAGCCTTAAGTCTTACTGTAGGACACAGGCGTTATCCCATTAACCTATATGTATACCACCACGCGATTATTTTTCCGTAATGAAAATCGGGGTGCCCCATTTTCGGCTTCACATTAAATCCCCTCAAAGGCGTTTGGTTATTGTCGACTCTCCCCCTGTTTGCCTGTGTGATAGTGTTGTGGCCACGCACACACCCTCGAGTCAATCCAAACTGTTCTGGAACGCAATCGAAGCGGTCGGGCGGTTATCGCTGTGCCACTATTTACATTCCCCACTTGTTTGTTTTTGCACATTGCCTCCCGTATTTACGTCTTACGAAACGAAGATTGAAGATTTTGTATGAATAAAAAAATATACGAGTTTATTGGATGGAGTGTAAGTAGGTCTTGAGATGCTTAGCATTTTATTTTCGTTACAGATTTGTTTTTATTGTTATGTCTGAAGTATCAAATTATATTGATGATTTTGGTAATACATAATATAGTACCTACCACATAGTCCTCAACTTAATGATTTATCAAAATCTCCATCGATTTTTATAGCAATATGGAGTTACGTCTAATTCAATTTAGCTCAGTTTTTTTTTTAGAAAAGTTCTGTCTTGTACTAATTTAGACAGATATCAAATAATGTGACTCATTATTTTAAATTTTCATAATTAAATAATGTGTGTCTACTTTTTTCAATCCGTATACTGTAACAAGGGCTCACCGTCCCTCAAGTGTCGAGGTGATAAAGGCAGTAAACCTTATTTACAACGTACTTATATTCGGAGCACAGTGGGGGCATGTAAGCACGGCATTTTATAAATTACATACTTATTTCGTGGGTGTTCGGATTTTCAGCTGATCCCGCCCTTTGAACGAGACATCCTGGTATCTTGGAGCTAAATGTGATTGTTAGTTGAAGAAATGGGATTTTTATAAGATCTTAAGTGTTTGTGTGCGAGACTGATTCAGATTTTGTCACAAAATACTTGACGGTAGGTAAGTAAATAGGCAAGATTTAAAGTGCACGAAAGATAGTTAACATTTATAAAAAAAATATTAGGTTGGTGGCGGTCGTAACATTTAGTACTTTTGGTAATATACAGGGTGTCCCAGAATGGGTGAATCAAACTGCTAGGGGAGGTAGCTCTACTAATGTAGGTACTATCCCTAAAAAATTAAATAAAATTTTTGAGTTCGGATTTTTTTAAGTAAAGTGCTCTAAACTCGAAATCTAGTCGTTATTTCAAAAGTTTGTTTACAGATATACGAAGCGATCATGTACAATTAATATTAGTAAGAAAAAAGTACAAATAAACTCCAAACGCAGCAATTATAGCCAACTACTTAGGCAAAGCTGATTTATTTTAACTTTTTCAAAAAAATATTTTTTTGTTTCCTTATGCGCTTTATTTTTTTTCATATTTTTTAGGGATAGTACATTAGTAGATCTACCTCCCCTAGCAGTTTGATTCACCCATCCTGGGACATCCTGTATTTACTTAAAGAAATTACTATGCATAATCTTATTTAATAAGTATCTGTATTTGATTGATTATAATGAAAAAAAAAAACTTGAACGTCTTGGTTAATTTCAATGTGCTGCTCTACATTAATATTAACTACAACCTTTATGATATGATATCACTACACTATGACATTTCGCTTTCAATTACCGAAATGACATCCAACCCAAACTTCCTGGCTTTAACCACGATAATAAAAACGTGAGCAGAAGGCATTTCGCGGCCGCGTCAGCCAGCGAATTGTCACCTCGGGCGCCGCGAACTCATTCCAGACAACAACCAACTAATAAACTTTCATTGGAAATGCAAAACAAAGATTACGACTCAACGACGGCCTAATGCTTTTGCAAAAGTAATTAGAAGTTGTTGAATGAGATCGCGCACTCGTGTTTGATCTTTCAGGACTTTTAATGATAAGATCTTCCTATTGTGGGGAACACCGTCTCAGTGCGCGATGGCTTGATAACGTACTGACAACAGATATTCAATTATTTTCGTCAAACGAATTCCGTCCTTGGAAAATTTTGGCCCGTATTTTATTCAAGAAAACTCTTGGCTTTGTCAGACACTTTAAGCGACTGAATTAGAATAAGTACTTTTCCTTAAGCTCTAACAAAAAAGGACGGTGTTTGAAAAATAAAACTCAATCTCTGACATTATTATCTATATTCAGGGTCTTAATTGTTTAGTTTGTCACTAACTATAATTATAATAATTAAATTAGAAATCTACATGTACAAAAATTGATTTTATATACAAGAATTATCATGCAACTATACTTACACTAATTGGTAGGTAAATACATAGTTAAAATGATCATAATTCCAGGAATGTACAACAACAATCGATATCTATGATGAAATTGATCATTTATTTGACACAATCGAGAAAAACATTTCGAAGATTCAAAAACTTCAGCGTTCATTATTATAGTCATTTATAATATTCCTATCGGCTATTAATTAAATTAGATATTAATGTCTTCATACCTGCTGATGTTATTCGCGACAATTAAATTGACGATCAATAACATTTTAGTTACGCACAAGTTAATGTAAAATTAATAAATTCTTAACATTATAAGGTTCACACACGCACTTACTTATTGAAAACGTGGAGGTCCATTCAACATTGAACCGAACTAGACGTTGCTACGCGTCACTCAACGTTATAATATAGCTTCCAGACGATATCTACACTCATCTAAATAATTCTGTTCTATTCAGAAAGTTACATTTTAATATTTACACATGTACGACGAACGACGATTTGGCACAGGGGCGTTTGACGCACACTCGGCCCATACGCTCCACTACATGTTCTGAGCAAATATAGGTATGCAGAGAGTTATCTACAGAAACACTTCATAGGCCGGAGTACTACACTTTACGTATGCGATATTCCATCTATAGCAGCATACGGATAAAAAGACTGAATATTAAATAATATAGTTCATTAGCCAAACTGAACGCGAGGGTCAGTTGACAAGAAGACTTAGAAAGAAGGGCAGACAATTTTTATCGTAATAGCACAAATGAAAAATCACATAGATGTAGCATCCCCTCTATGAATTCTACTAATCCCGACTTACAATATTGGTGAGTTCTTATTCTACAATATTTACATCTCACAATCAGTCATATAGTTAATAATATTTTGGCAGACAATTTTTATTTAAAACTATTTCAGTTGCTGGTTTTATATTAATTAAACTCGTAGTAAGTAGATACAAAACGCAAAATAACGCTTGGCACTGTATAGTCCTAAATAGGCCGGACTACAAGCTGCTAAAAATACAATGCATAATATAAAATACGTATAAATTCTGTGATATAATTTAGATTTGATGATAATAAAACGTATTCACAACCTGTTACTGATGTACGAGTAAATGACCTCATTTTATGTGATAAAACGACGACTGGGTACTAGGGATTTTAATTGAGGTTTGAAAATGTGATATTGTCAAATTGTGTCAAGTCTCAGGGTGGTTCTAGCATATTCTAGAAGTTGCTGTCGTACTCGGAGCGGCGCCGCGAGTAGTGCGAGCGCGGGTACTCGCCCGTGTATCCGTACAGCTGGGAGCCGCCTCCCGTCTGCCCGTACAGCTGTGATCCACCGCCGTATCTGTACACAAAATAGAAGAACTTTAGAAATTAAGACAATATAAACCAAGAAACATGAAGACAAAGATCGTTGAATAGTCACGTCATGTAGAGTCAGTCTATCTTACGTCTCTTTTCCAATGCCTGATTCTTACGATCCTTTACCAGTTTTCTGTTTGAGTCCAAGTTACGTGAAAGTCTATTGACAAATTTTGTATTCTAGTACTGGTAATAAAATTAATTCTGAGACTTATATCACTGAAACATCGTAGATTTTCCTTAAGAAGAGCTACGCATATTTTATTCTAAACTAGCTTTCCGCCCGCGGCTTCGCCCGCGTGGAATTTTGTCTGTTACAGAAAAACAATATCGCGCGCGTATTTGCTTACCGTTTAGACCTACCTACGACAAACATTTTAAAACCAAAATCAGCTCAATCGGCCCAGCCGTTCTCGAGTTTTAATCAGACTAACGAACATCAATTCAGTTTTATTTATACATTATAGATAATAAAGTGTAAATAAATTAAGGCATTTGTGGATTTAGTTCACTCATTGCGCTCAAACTCCTTAAAAACATTACTGAAAACTCTATATTTTATCAACTTACCCATATCCATTTCCGACAGGCCCGTATATCTGCGAACCCCTGCCCGAGTCGGGAGTGTAGTGCTGCATATACTTCTGCAGCTGCGGAGTCCACTCCGACCTCCAGGAGTCCCCAGGATTGGGGTATGCCAGCTGTTCGATGAACGCCGTGGACATGCGCTGTGGAAAAAATAAAATAATTTTGGAAATCTGCTTTGTTCACGTTGCAATTCTTAGTTATTGTATGAATATCTAAAGCTTCTAAGAGTAAAAACTAATCGCTATTTTTACTAAGCTTAAAATTCATTAACGACCGGACGACGGTATTGGACTAATTTGGTAAAATCCTAAAATGCCTTGAAGCCCGAGGAAGTTTTTTCTAAAAAAAAAGGAAAAACTGTTACTTGTATAACTAAAAATGATTATAGGTACCTTTACCTTTCCACTAGGGAGATAAGGCAGATCCCTCTCCTTTAGCTGATGCATGTCATCGAAGCCACCCATGTGGCTCTTGTCCAGTTCTCGGAGCATATCCTCGCTGAGTGGTATTGGCTGTTTCGCTTTAGCGCTTTTTTGCCGATTGACCAGCTGAAAATAAAAATGATGGGCTGAATAAAATCAAAAATATTTTCATCGTCGCATTTGTGTCTCTAATCCCTTGTTATTCAATATTAATTAATATTTGTTTTCTCTTTCTTATAATAACTCTAGAATGAAATACGTCTTACCACTGTAACTCCGAAAATAACAACAAACAAAAGTGAAGCCATCGCTATCACTATTACAGCAATACCCCACTGTGGCAGGAACGATTCCTCTTCAGGTGCCACTACCTTCGGCTCCTCACGTTTTGGTAGAACTGGAAATAGAAACAAAATTAAATATCCTGACAAGCATTAATTTTAGCGACAGTATTACTAATCACATACCAATGAATTCCGTGTAAGCAGGATCCATAACAAATTTTCCTATTTCTAGTTTTCCAGCAGATTTGTCTATAGTCTTAGTCATCTTTTCATCACTTTTCGTCATTCTATCTTCATCAGGTTGGTCACCCATCATTTTATCGGGATCAAATTCCTCATTAGTTGAGTCTTCAACTGCTTTCTCCATGACTGACCCAGGTTTGGCTTCATGGAGGGATCTATGGAACATTTTCTTTAGATCGACGGTGTCGATTCTCTCTTCAACGTCATTGAGCTCAATAAAGTAATCAACGAGAATAGAGCCCTGACTGAATCCATCAATACGAATGTTCTTGTACCATTTCTTAAGCAAATCAGACTTAGAATAGACAGAGTTAAGCTGAAACAGAAAATAATTTGTTGTAAAATTATAGTTGACATGAATCGTACAAGTACCAGTAATTCTAGTTTATGAAATGAATGCTTTACTTCTTCTTTGACTTCATCAGCCAACTTCTGCCATTCTTCGGTATTCCTATCCAATAATTCGGGTATCCATTTAGCACCTGCGAAAAAAAACAAAAATATAATCGTCATACCTATTCTAAACAAGGTTGCTTAAATTAGACGTAATTTATAGATCAAAATGGTGTGTACCTGCAACGATTTTGATAGTAGCTGCGATATCACACTCCCGTCTGCAAACGCCGGGAGTGGTCGGCGGGGGCGGCGCTGGTGTCGTGGTCGTCGTCGTCGTCGTTCGTCGTGTCGTTACTTCAGTGCTGAACTCAGGCATTGGACTTGTTGCGGTTGCATTCCTTTGTGCTTCCAAAAGCTTCTCAATTGAAAATGGTGTTGTGGATGGGGACGGCCATCCAGTGAATTCGGTGGAGGCTCTGTAACAGTAATTAGATGGGTTAGATTATACAACTGTTAATGATTAGATAAAACAAAGAAAACTAACCAAATATTATGCATTACCTCGTTGGCCAGCCTTTTTGAATCTTAGGAGTGACAGGAGCAGGACCAATACTTGTGTTTGGCCTGGGCGTTGATTTTCTTGCATTTTTGCTTCCTGGTCTTGACGGGAATACTAATTTTATACCACCTGGAGCTTTGGTTGTTGAGCTCGGAGGAGCTGGCTCTTCAGTTTCGTTCAATTTGAAGCCAGGTGGAAGTAAGCTCGAAATATCAGCAACTTTAATCTTATCCAATGGTAATTCAATAGGTTTCTCTTCCGTTGAATTCAGCTTAAAACCAGGGGGCAAGAATGCTGATAAATCACTAACGGGCACAATTGCCGGTATCTTAGGTTCTATTTTGGATTTTTCTGTAGTTGAAGTATTCAATTTAAAACCTTTAGGCAAAAATGCTGTTATATCAACTTTTTGTACTTTATCTACAATACTTGGTTTTGTGGTTTCTTTTACTTCAGGTGCTTCTGATGCAGGAGGTTTATATCCTGGAGGCAAAAACTTGCTTATATCATCTGTCTGGAACTTTTTCACTAGTTCTTCTTGTGGTTTATGTTCTTTAGGTCTGTATTCTTTAGGTAGCAATGATTTATCATCTAAGATAATAACTCTGTTTTTAGTGCTTATGCCTGACGATCGTCCTTGGGTTCCATTTATTACTGACTCTTCAGAAGACGGCTCTGGTGCACTTGTAGTAGTGGTAGTCGTAGTGGTGGTAGTAGTAGTTGTTGTACTTGTTCTTTTATCTTTAAATGACAGTCGTGGTTTATAACCTGGCGGTAAGAGACCTGACAAATCATCCATAACAGTCACCAATTTCTTCTTAGGTTTTTGAGTCGTAGTAGTTGTGATACGAGGTGCGAATTTCTTTATGTTAACTGGTAACGGTTCTGGGGCTGATTTTTCTGTCACGGAAGTTGGTGCAGTGCTCTTTAAAGTAAAAACATTAAGTGAAGAAGGTGTTGTAGTTGTAGAGGTCGTTGTTGTGCTAGTTGTCGTTGCTTCTGTTGTAGTTTCAGTAATTAATGCAATCTTATGCGCTTTATTTAATGTTCCGGAAAGTACTGCACTTGATAATTCTGACTGTATGCTATCTAACTTGTCATTTATATTTTCAGTTGACGATGAAGATGAACTACTAATGATACTAGCTGAATCAGATTCTATCTTAGGATCTTTGGTAGCGGTTTCTTCATCCTCTTCATCTCCTTCTTGTTCATCTGACAATGCTTGTTTTTTATCATCTTGTCCGATTGCTGGGAATGGCAAAAATCTAGCTCCGGACACACTTCTACTAGTTTGTACTGATGCAACAACAATCCAATTTTCAGTAGTAACAGATGTTGATGTGTCATTATTTTGAAGTTCTTCCAAGGAAGATGAAGATGATGCTTCTGACGCCGCGATGATTTTAGCAGTAGTGGGTGCATAAGTGACGTCTGGTACAGATATTGTTCCATTTACAACGCTTTTCGTGGTAACAACAGATACAACCTCTTGTCCCAGAATTGATGGAGTCTCAATTGAACTAACGTCTTCTTCAGATGTTGAAGATTCGACGGTTGCCCCAGTCGTTACTTTGTCTTCGTCGTGTTCAGTTTGGTCGATAATAGTTGTGTCTACAAAATGTTTGAAATTGTCGTCTTTTACCGTAGTATTCACTGGTTTCGTTACTAAAACATCAAATTCTGATGAATTAGTTTTAAATTCTTCAGTAGTTGTTTCAGATTCTTCATTTGAATCATATTCGTCATAAATATCAGTCACAGGTTCCGACGATACTGGTTGCCGTGTTGTCGGTTTTACTTCAGGTGCATCTGTTTCATCGTAGTATTCGACATATTCTCCTTCCTCCTCTTCCTCGCCACTTTCATTGTCATCGTGATGGTGAATCTCAGCAGACTTTTCAGTCGATGTAGTAGTAGAAGAAGAAGTTGTACCAGGTCTTCGATACGTCATAATTTTATTATCAGCATTCATTGAACTTGCATCAGGCTTACTGTCTTCAGTTTGTTCTGAATTTGAATCACTTTGGTTCGATTTAATAACTTGAACATCAAAAGAAGCTTGTTTATTTTTCATCAACTCTCTGAATGAACTTATGTCACTTATGTCATCCTCAAGAAGCGGTTCTAAATCTAATAAGGCTTTGTATTCAGTAGAAGAACTGTGGTAAACATTTGCATCGGATTTTACAGGTTTGAAATTGTTATTACTAAACTTCTGACTGTTCCTGAAGTTAGATTTGTCATCATTAGACGGGGATTCAAATTGTGAAAATCGCGAGCTTGTAGGTTTATTACTCAGTCTTTGTTTACTTACTAATTTATTTGGATTGTAAGTAGTTACTCTATGATGATCATAAAGATCTTGGTTATCATTGTCAATATCTTCATCATGTGATATATGACCGCTCTGGCCATTGCTCTTCAAGCTATTACCATCAAATGGTATAGTCTTAAACCTGCTATTCCGTAGGTAGTCTATGTCTGGATTGTTAATTGTTATTTGGCCTAAAAATGTTTCTGGTTTGGATGGATCATTTTGATACGCCACTGAGTGTATTTGGGATGCATCTGGCCTCTTGGTTGATGCTGGATGAACCATCTGGAAGTTGTATGGCAGTGCTGGCCTGAACCTTTGTCGTTGTGGTGTGAATTCTGGTTGATTTACATAATATTGAGTGCCGGATTGACTTCTGCCCGTGGGCAATTGGAAGGGTGAGGGGTTTTGGTTGTAGTTAGGACTAGGGAATCTGACATGGGCGTCATTGTATAACGGCTGCGGTGCTGACGGTGCTACCCTGAAGTTGTCTCCATGGTCAAAGAATGACGTTGGCCGACTGTTTGGAAATAAAGGCGGTTGTACTTGAGCAAAACTTCTTTCCACCGGTGTGTAGTAAAAATCATTTTCATCTGAAAAGAAAAACAATCTTATGAGTATACTTTGTGAATTAACTTTGAAATATCTAATAAATAAACTGCATATCGTCCATTTGCGACGACACTGTGATATATCAAAAACAGTGGTTTTCCAGAAAACGACTTTTTAACTTTTGAATGACCATAACTCTTAAAAGAAGGTTAGGATTACCTAATTGTGTATGAAACGTTTAAAGATTAACTATTAATAAATTTAAATATTTATAGTAAGACATAAATTTGCGTCTAAATTGATGAAATTATAGCGATTGAAAAAAAAAGAGACAACTTATCACATTGTTCTAGTAAAAACATAATATTTTGAAGATGGTAAGTTCAGTTGTCACGTTGAAGATGATGTAAAAAATTATATTTATATGAGTCATTATTTAGATAAAACGTTGATCTTGAAAAATTTTATTTTATTTTAATAACATTACAATCAGTAAAAATGAGGTAATTATTGGAACAGGCGAATATTTCGCTTTGTTATGTTAAATTGCACTTATAAAAATATTATCTAAGTAGACAGACAGTTGTATATATACAATATTAAGCTCACATTAAGTTTTCTTATTCTAAAAACTAATGCTTATCAAAATGAACGAAAAACTCTCAAAAGTAAAATCTCGTAAACTACTACAAAAAAAAACACAGTACTTAAGAGAAACTGTATTAAGTAGGTATGTATGTATGCAGAAGAAAAAATTTTAGGTACCTACTAGGTTAGTAAATAGATATTTTATAACAGACTAGTTATGACAATCTAATCCTAAAATTATCAACGCAAAAATCGCCGTCCCCGGCGAATAAAATGGCAAACATGCGACATTTTGGTACCTTTTCGGGTGTTTTAATTTTTTATACTTTTTTAAAATTAAATTTATAAAAGATAATTATTTAAACAATGTATTAATATTATGTAGCCATTTTATTGGCGTAGTTTTTCTGAAATAGTTATATAGCAATATTATTATACAAAACTATGTTGCGCCCGCCAAAGTATATATTTGGGCAATAAGCGATAAAGTAAAATTCTCTCAATTGTTGATGATCTGTAATTACATTAAAACATTAATATACCTTTTTTGCAGAAAGCAAAACATAGCCAATACAGCTAAGTAACATTGAATAATTACATAATAATAAATAAATAAATATCTGGGGTCATCCAACGCATTGCTGTTCTAGCATACTTCTACTGATAGATAATTTTGTTAGCTATCGTCTTAGATTAAGCTAATCTAAGGCTATCGTATGATAATATTAAATATTTTGCTTGTTGTGTCTGTAAAAACAGACAGTCGTATAAGTATGTTTTATTTGCACTGTATTACTAGTATTTGAACTATTCTTCAAAACGAATGTATGTTTATCAGTCTACATCTACTCGTATTAGTTATTAATATTATTAATTACCGACGTTATTGTAGCTCAAAGAGACCCTTTCACAGCGCTCACATAGCGCTGTTAGTCATGTTGTCGGATTAGGTTGTGGAATTCCTTCAGGCAGTGCATCGNATACCGCGGTATCCTCGAGATGTCACGTTTTTCTTAAAAACAACGAGGACCTCACATCTCAAAGCGCAGGTGGCAACTGAACTGTCACAGTGTCGAAGCCAACTAGATCGCCGAACGAGCCAGCGCTATAACGTAATATTTTATTTCTTTCTCTCATAGTATTGTTGTTTTTGGAGTAACAAATACCCTGTTTTTGGAGATAAAAGAACCCAAGATCGCGGTTCAGAATTTCGGTAAAACAAAAAATCGTATATCTCGAGATGTCACAGTGTCGTCGCAAATGGGCGATATAATAAATTAAAGCAATCAGTTGAACCGAACATAAATGATTCATAAGTCAAATTGTCACCAAACAGGATGTGGACATTCAGTACCTAATTAGATTAGGTATGTACTTACCTACCTACATACAATATCTATGTATAAAAACATGTTTTAATGAAGTAGCAAATACACGTATGCTAGACCTTTTTGATTTTTTAATAACCCCTTTTGGACATTGCATTAAAACTTGATAATAATGTCATTTAATCCCATCACGTAAGGTTGTACGTTAACCCATATCACACCCATGTTATTTAAATTATTTTGCTGGGCTGTCACAACAAGTTTGGCAATACGCAAACTGGGAAGCAATCCTATTATGTGCCCTATAACCTAATACATCAGCAAACAAAACAACTTGGATTGTGTACAAAAACAATATCGTAATGGATTTTGTTAACTTGTTTTGCGAGAACGTTAGTTTCAAAGCGTTTTAATGCAATTTCGTGATACGCTTTTATCGAATGCTGTCTGTTACTAGGCCGCTATAAAAGTGTAGGCTAACTAGCTGGCTTTTAACTTTATTACCTGCATCTTTCGGTTAGCGACCGCATATTTTCAAACCACAAAAGCAAACAAGACATACATACCTACTCCTAAAATAGTTCAAGTATCATATTCATAAGACTTGAATGTTGATGAACTGTAATACCTACCACAATAATGATTTAGCACGACGTTATCAAAGATGAAAAATTCTAGAAGCGCTCTACATACGTATCTGACAACAGAAAATATAAAGGTAAGTACGATATTTCCCTCGTTAAAATATGAATAGGGTGAATACGTAAAGGATTTTTAAAATCCTGTTCCCAAACTCAGTGTTTTCATAAAAAAGTTTTTCGAGCTACCCACTCTACCAACACCTATCAACCGTAAACACCACTTGTCGCAATTCATCTCTCGCCAGAATAAAATTATGTTTGGCGCAAAACATATTCGGGAGGGCGCAAAGACAACGCGCGGCTAATCTTCTTTTATGACCCTTCCAGTTTATTATTACGTCCTGGTTTCGGCTCTACATCGTTTCGAAGATAATCTCAAGGAAATTACTTTCTTGTGGATCATATCCCTAATTAAGGAGCGTCCTCATCAGAGCTCGAGTGGAAGCAACGCTGAACATAATAGGAAATCGATAAATTGGGACTCTCATAAGTCAAGAGCTTTCGTGAGATACTTTCGACTTGGCACTTACGGCCTCGCTTAAAAATCTGTCCTAAAATATTACTTAACGTATGTGGGGAGCGTTTATTTTTTTTTACTTAACTTAGATACCCTATAAGGTTTTGGTGGTGGATGCTTTTATGCATATTCTAGTGTAACTTAACAACTCGGATAGGCAACTTGCTTAATTTGGAAAACTTAAAGTAACATTTAATTGACAAAATAATGATTTCATCTTTTTGCTTTATAACTTTTTTAATTATTACCTATGTCATAACTAAATAATTTATTCGTGATTTTAAGGCATTAGGTATTTTCTAAGGCCTCTAACTTAAAGTTGTTTTTCTGCAGACAGTAAAATTATTCTTGCGACCACAAAATCGCCATTAATAATCCATTAGCAAGATTACGGTTCAATTTATTTAATTTAATGCAAGATTTATCCATAAATAACTTAATTTAATGACATCTTGGAAAAGTCGGGTATTGTTTTCACGGTTTGTTATCATTATTGGATAGTCGAGGGCCTTGAAATTTTAAAGTACCTAAGTCTTCTAAAATTTTGAGAAGTGACTCTGTAAACTTAATAGAGAAACTTGAAGACCTTTAATAAAACGAAAAGTATTTATAATAAATTGTCAGTGGCATCTAGATTTGAACAATGAAATATGATTTTGCTTTCGAAATAATGTTGAATGAAAATATTCGTTAAGTATTGTATTTGTAAATTTATCAACAAGCACAATGTCACAGTAGAAGAAAAAAGATACCTTTTGTTCAGTTACTTATTTAGTTTTGGCCTAGACAGTAAATTGTATTTTATCCGTCATTTTTCGGTTCAAGTTTCGTTTTATAGAGATAGCTAACCAATTCGACCGTACAGAATGATTTTAAATTCGACGCGAGGAATCGCTGTTCGTTTTACTTTATTTTTCCTTTAAATCCCTGTCGATGAATATCGGAGCCGTAGAAAAGGAATCTCGGAGAGACACAGGAAAATCTGATGCAAATGAACATGAAATTGCCCTTTTGAAACACACGCATTCCGAAATCTTTGCTGAGGGTTCTCGAGTTTTCTTTGTGAGTATAATGTTGTTTTGTTTATTGCGCACTCAATTGTTTTTCAACGCAAATAAAATACGCCTTATTCTATGGCAAGGGAATTGGTTCATCGAAAAAAGTTGTGGCGAACGAAGGTCGAGCTCACTTCCCACTCTACTTAATTCTTCTCCAATCCCAAGAGTCGCACTATATTGAGAAAACAAGTTTTTCCCTTCGTCTCAAATATTTTCCCTGATTAAGTTCGTCGTGGTTAAATTTCCCCAGGGCTTGCGTGAACCTTATAGCTTGGTGTCAATTTTGATAGCTGTTATTGATCGTGGGGATCATATAAGTAGGCAATATGTGGAATCCAATCTTCTTCAAAGGGCCGAGATTTCATTAATGTACGAGCACACAGACCCGTTTCGTAGCGCGTTTGAATATTTTTAATTATGTTCACATGAGCAAATACTATCATTTAATTTCCAACCTACATCAAATGCTGAATCTGATTCTAAATGGTGATTACTTTACTGGGGCAAATATTGTATGTATCCTCGTTTAAATATCGAGGGTGGATGGGTAGTTGGCAGTACAAACATTTATGCATCATGTACCTATTATCAGAATGCCAACACGTCGCGGCGTCGGTGATAGTAAATCTAGTTTTCATTTTAGAGAGGTTGAAATTTAATGAAACTACCAGCATTTATGGTAGATTGTCCAGTCTTCAAAATTTAGGTCACAGTCCTAGGGTCAGATTTTTATGAGCGTCTGAAATGGCTCAATGACAATCGTAACGGACGGCATAAAACGTGTCCTCCGAAGGACAGAACCATTTGTGTTTTGGTTGATTTTGAATTAAGACTCAAATTTTACTGCGCCTTACGACGAAGTATTATGTAGGTAGTTAAACTTAGTTGCATGTTATGTTAAACCTGATA